ACCTATGAACGGGTACGAGCCAGCTAGACTTGTTCCCTGACCTTACAATTACCCAATATATGTAAACTGCTCTGTTTCTTCTTATATGGAGTCAGGGAACCAGACTACAGGAAAATGATTGTTTTTCTTGGTTTTTATAGCATTTTCGAACCCAAAACCTCAAAAAAGTCAGTGTAACTATATTTGCTATATATTTGCAACCCCTTAATTCCATCCATTTCTGAAAAATAACAGTAAAAGCAAATGATGTATATTCCCTTTAAACAAATTCGATGGAAATATTATTTAACATTTTAATTAACTGATTAGATTGATAAGCTCATTGATGACTGGAAAGAAGCTGGAGTATCTCTGGGATGGAATCTGTTTGCTACGAGTGTTAAATTAATCGGGAAAACCGATACATTTCATGTGGAAATTCAATGAAGTTGAAATCATTGTTTTTCAATGTTTTTTAATACAACCTGCCAGTAACGTGTACAGCAACGCCAGTTGCAGAGGGTTCTCGACGAACGATCCGGCAATGGCCGCTGCACTCATCATCACGCCACACGTCATCATGACGTAATCAGCCCCAAAGCGCCTGCTCACTAATCCTCCGAAAGGAGCTGTGGAGACGTAAAATATTTGATTTTGAGTTGATCAAAGGATGGAACATCCTTGTTTCTAGATGCGAATGAAGTTGGATAACAATTAAGTAGGATAACAATTAAGTAGGATACCATACAGTGAAAATTCTGTTCGGCTATATTGCGTTTTGGGCACAATGATGATGTCTGTAGTAAATTAAGAGTAATATAATCAACTTATCATAATAGTAAATTATGTTGTGACCAGACCACCGAAAAAATAATAATGATCGTGCAGTTTACTCTCCGCACGTATATCAGTTCACACAATTTCAACATTTATGTGTATTTAATTTAAAATGATGACTGTGAAATAGAATAAAAATGGTATTGCTGAAGGGACCCATTTGAAACCGATGCATGGAGAAAATTAAAATCATAATTATGTTTTTAAAGTATCATATTCACATGTAGTCTGGGTTGCATTACAACCAACAATTATTACATTTAAATAGTGGCTTACAGTCATGCAGATGAGTAATTGATATACGCATGAACATGAACCTACGAATCCACTTGTTGCGATCGTCAGTGACGCTATCCAGCCGATAATCCACATTTGGGAGGTCAGTTGGATTTGCAAAATCGGCAGCATTATCCCGAGACCTTTGGTAATGCCGGTCTCCATGAGGTTTTCGGTCCAGAGCGCGAGGACCGCGACCCAGCCGGGCCTTCCGCCGTCCGGCCCCTCTAGACTGTTGCTCACCACCCCGCTCATAGTCCAGGGACTATTTTGATGAAGGAACAGGGTGCGTGGTGGTTGACTTTCTTGCTCCAAGGTTTTAGAAGGGGTACTGGGTGGGCATGGACATGATATATACACAACACAACTCGCAGTCACGTGACATCGCCATCACGTGAATATTATGGAAATAACTTTTGAGTGAGATAGTCCTACATCTAAATTGCCATGGGAGATTCAATAAGGTTGCAGACCAGTAAATAGGCCCCAAATTGCCTATGCCGGCCAAATCACGATTTGCATGCCCTCAAAATCTTCAGTATTTGAGAGTATTGTGGACCATGAACTTGAGGGTTTGTGAAAAAATGGATGGAAGCCGTGCACAGGACTGGGAGCTTGCAGTTGTGTGTAATTTGGATGTAATTTGGACCCTAAAAGCGCTCTATTTTGCAATGGAGTGTAGCCATCGTTAGTCAAAATGGCGATGGGCTTCAGGACTATTTTTAGGGGTGATCATCTTCGGATGGAAATTTCTCCTAAAACTCATCAGTTAACCCCAAAAAATTGAAAATAAAATAAAAGGTGATGAAATAAGCTTTATTTTGATGTGTGTCTCGAACACCTTGGAGAGTTGTTAGTATTTTTCCCGAATTTCTGAAGTGGGAGCATTTACCATTGGGGTCTATGGAAGTTCATTTACTGGTCTGCTACCTATAATTTCAAAATGGCGGCGTCCGCGTTGTGATGAAAGTGGGATTGAAAAGGGGCAATTGCTGTCTAAAATTGTTGATTACAAAATGAAATAAACACCAAAAAAGTTTTAAAGACAATTTCTTGACACATTTTTCTGAAGTTCTTATTTTTGGTTGTGTTTTATTGAAAAACAATTCATGCAACATCATTCTTGTGGATTGTTATGTAAACACGAGAGTACACACTGCTCCATTCACCATAGTCTTAAGGTGCTTCGAATAGTTTCTTTTCATTTGTTAAATTTTCCTTTTCTGACTAAAACAGGTCTCATTTTGTGATGTTTGTACTCTTACTATTTTGACATTTGGATCTTGAAACGGCATTTATAGTGAATTGACTTGCCAGAAACAGTAATCAGGTTCATATTTGTACAGAAATTCTTTTCTTTAATTCGTTAAAGTAGAAGTTAGGAGCAGTTATCATTTCATTCCGATTATTTCGTATCCTTTTGTTAGTGGAAGTGTTATGAGACTACTGTGGGAACCATTTGACCATGCTTAGATTATTTTCTTTAGGAAGAAAACTGAGCGTTGTGTAATTGTCATAGTTTATCAGTTTGTTGCTTTAGTTGTATCACTTTAAAGACTAGTATCGATGATATCGATATTGTGGTGCTAGTGCTTAGTAGCTATACAGTGTATGCACACTAGACACTAATTGATATGCGGTCACTGCACTATTGCCAGCCCTGGGTGGGACAGCCACAAATTCCAAGTTTGGGGTAGAGTGATTAACTCCACAGGAGGCCTGACTGGAGACTTTGTTTCCTGCTCATTGAGTGGTCGGGCACAACCCGACCACTCTTTGGATTTGTTCCGATTAATCTTTCTTTCTTTCTTTCATTCCAACTTGACTTTTTCCACCTTACTTTTAGGGATGTGAATTGACATTGATTTGTTATAATTAATTTCAAATCCAAGATTTTGGAGTATGTTTATCACGAAATTAGTGTTTGTGGTGCTTTCTTCTTTTGAAGAAGACATGATGAGGATGTCATCTAAATAAATGACCAAGTGAATACCTCGACTGCTCGCTGATGCTACTATAGGTTTCATAACCTTAGTAAAAATTCTAGGGGCTGATGATAAGCCAAATGGTAGGCAAATAAAGCAAACACATTTTTCTGCCCAAGAGAATCAAAGATAAGGTTGATCCTTCTCACACATTGGAATAGAAAAATAAGCATCTTTCAGGTCAATTGACGTGAGAAAGTCATTAACTTGAATTAGGTTTTTCACGAGCTTGATATTTTCCATTTTGAAGTGCTCGTACGACACAAATTTGTTAAGATCTTTCAAATTAATAAATGGTCTCAATCCACCTGTCTTTTTCACTATCAGAAAAGTGTTCGACAGAAACTGGCATTCCGCCAGAGAAACTTCTCTGATTGCACCTTTGTGCAGTTCACTTATCTCAGTATTGATCACAAGTGATTCTTGATCACAGAAGGATTTCTTTTGAGGTTTTGAGGTTTGAATTGGACAGCTCATCAATTTTACAACCTGATATGGTGATTAGAATCCACCTATCAGAAGGGATTTGAGACCAATCGCCCTTGTGTAATTTTAGTCTCCCGGCACTTGCCAATGGAGAGGATAGCAGGTCTGATTTTACATACCCGTTTTTTTCTGAAGTAGGCTTCGTTGCAGTAGATGGTTTGTTAGATCTCTGCTGCCAGGTGGATCGCCCACGGCTATGTTGGGGAACATTCGAACCCCGAGAAGATGAACGCCAGAAGCGTCTGTCTAACAGTGGGTCCGCTGTAGTTTGCGGACGAGCCTTTGCCTGTTCTCTGCTGGTTATAAGGCACATAACGGCGATAGGAAGACTGATTTTTCCTCTCGTCTGAGGTCATTTTTTTGCCTGCTTTGTAGGCTTCATCAGCTACCTGTTTCATTGTACATGTATTATTCATGTCTTTCCCAAACAACATTTCTGAGACGGGAGTATTGCGGGAACACAGTTCATAAGAGGCGTTCCCTGCAAGGGTAATGCCATCTAAAGCAAGTTCCTTTAACTTGTCAATGTTCACAACTTAGCCTGACTTTGTTGCATCACGCAATTCAGTCAACATTTTGCAGTAAGGAAGCAAACCTTTGATAACTTGTTTTTGGATTTTCTGTAAGATCACGTCCTTGGATCTAGCTGAGGCGGGGATGGTTCCCCAAAGTTCACTGTCTATTCTGGGTGCCGACACAGCTACCGCATTTGACGGTGTAACGTATTTTTCTGCAATTTTTGCATACGTCTCTTTCTTGATTGGCAAAGTTACCGCTTTTACAGCTCTTTCTGCTAGGTTGCTAAATATCTCGGGGCTAATTAGCCTCACTGTCATTGTAAATATCTTCACTTGGAAGAACGTCAAAATCAGCTTGCGCTGTAATGGCTTGGTTATCCGCCAGTACACTGGTCAGGTCAAACTAAGATTAGCTGGGTCGTATGCCACAGCTTCCTGGCTTAGTAGCTCGTCTACAAACTCCTCGTCGTATTGAGCCGAGACCTCAAACTGGGGTGGACTACCAGCGGAGTTGCTGGGGCCGGCGTGCTTCGCACGTCCGGATAAGTCACGGGAATGAACCACTGATGCCAGCATCTCTTGCATGGCATTAACAGAAGCCGATAACTTCTGGATACCGTCGGCATTGGCCTGTAACCGAGCATCGATGTCCCGGCGAGAACTATATAGGCTTACCTTGGCCTGGTTGGGGTGATTTAATGTCGTCTTCGGACGAGTCAGTATTCATTATTGCAATGAACAAGGAGCTGAACTGTTCAGCTCTTTTCGCTATGCCTATCACACGAAGAAAAGATGCTGGCTCCTTTCAGCCGGGGGTTTATATACCCATGCTACACTACCTCATTTGAATTACTATAGATTCTTTGAATGTATTGTGTGATCCGCATGCCTGGCACCTGAAAGGAATGCATACCCTCTGAAGACTTGCACGAAGTGTTATGTAATAGAATTTAGATGTAGGACTACATGTATACATAATATTCACGTGATGGCGGTGTCACGTAACTGCGAGATGTGTTATGTATATATCATGTCCATGCCCACCCGGTACCCCTTCTAAAACCTTTGAGCAAGAAAGTCAACCACCGCGCACCCTGTTCCTAAACCAAAATAGTCCCGGACTATGAGCGGGGTGGTGAGCAACAGTCTGGAGGGGCCGGACGGCGGATGGCCCGGCTGGGTCGCGGTCCTCGCGCTCTGGACCAACAACCTCATGGTGATCGGCATTACCAAAGGTCTCGGGATAATGCTGCCGATTTTGCAAATCCAACTGACCTCCCAAATGTGGATTATCGGCTGGATAGCGTCACTGACAACCGCAACAAGTGGATTCGTAGGTAACACTGACAGTTTTTGTCTAAACTGCAATTTAATTCAACTGTGTGTATTATATTTATGGCGTTGCGAAGAAGCGCATGCATGGCTGTTGTACTGTATTAAAATTGACTGAGCGTTTTCATGCGTATATCAATTACTCATCTGCATGACTGTAAGCCACTATTTAAATGTAATAATTGTTGGTTGTAATGCAACCCAGACTACATGTGAATATGATACTTTCAAAATATAATTATGATTTTAATTTTCTCCATGCATCGGTTTTAAATGGGTCCCTTCAGCAATACCATTTTCATTCTATTTCACAGTCATTATTTTAAAATTAAATACACATAAATGTTGAAATTTTGTGAACTGATATACGTGCGGAGAGTAAACTGCACGATCATCTAGAAACAAGGATGTTCCATCCTTTGATCAACTCAAAATCAAATATTTTACGTCTCCACAGCTCCTTTCGGAGGATTAGTGAGCAGGCGCTTTGGGGCTGGTTACGTCATGATGACGTGTGGCGTGATGATGAGTGCAGCGGCCATTGCCGGATCGTTCGTCGAGAACTCTCTGCAACTGGCGTTGCTGTACACGTTACTGGCAGGTAACGTTGTATTAAAAAACATTGAAAAACAACGATTTCAACTTCATTGAATTTCCACATGAAATGTATCGGTTTTCCCGATTAATTTAACACTCGTAGCAAACAGATTCTATCGCAGAGATACCCCAGCTTCTTTCCAGTCATCATTGAGCTTATCAATCTAATGTTAATTAAAATGTTAAATAATATTTCCATCGAATTTGTTTAATATAGGTTTTCCCGGCGAATTTCCTAAAATGTTCAATCACTTATGAAAATTGGTTAATCATTTTCGTCTGAATTTGAGAATCGCTCTGAACACGCGTTTCATTTTCGCTACCATTACAGAACTGAGCCCAATCTAATGCATTTTCTCAAACCTTAGTTTCTGAGGTTCAAGCCTAATGAAGCATGCAGTGCCTGCAGCGGATAACCTGATGTTTTAGCATGTTTAGACTGATAAGAGCCTACTTGTGGTCAGCTGTAACTGATCCACTAGCTAAGAGCAGTGACTTGCAGGCCGTGGTCAGTATAGGTGTTACCCATGCCAGTGTGTGACCATCCATATGATGCTATTATCATGGAGCTAGATTGTAGGATAGCATGTACATTGTGTATGTACAATGCAGCTGTGTGATTCAGGTGGCTGAAGCATAGAGCACGGAACAATTTTACTTGGAGCATTCTTGGATGCTTGGAGCAAGGATAGCGATCATGGTTAGCATTGGTTAGGAAAATATAATCAAGATCGAGACGACTTTGACGTGAAATTATATGAACCTTGGGATTCCTTTACGCGTGCTTGTCTGAACACTTTAACTGGCCAACGAAATGCTATTAATGGGTGAGTAAAAAAAAAAGTGGAGGCAAACCCCAAAAAATAAATTTCATATTTAAAACAATATGTAGTACCAAAATAATAATGACTGGAAAGCCAATTTCATAAGCTATTGTTAGATGAAAAAATACTGAATTTGCTCAATCCGTTCAGAGAATATCAACATTTTAACGCAATGACCCTAAAACCTGTTTCATCACACACACAAAAAGACAATTTATTGTGTATTCTGACTGTTTGGAACAACAAAGAAATTGACTCAGAACACTTTTTCCAACAACTGCCAACAACTGTAGTATACAATGTCTTTATTTACAACCCTGGTTAGGCAAACAATACGATTTATAAAATCTTTTTTTCTTGTTTTTAAGATGGGTCTGTAAAAGACTTTGTTTCTGAATGTGTTTAACTTTTAAATTTGGGGGGGGGGTCAAAATGAGCTTTATATTGTCAACAGAAATGTGCACCCTTATTGGTAGTGCGAATCAATATAGGCCCCCTAACTTTAAAAATCCGCCCCCAATTTTTGGAGGGCGAATCAAAGTAATTACTCCTAAGTTTAATTGTCATCAGAAATCCGCCACCTTATCTGGGACGGTGAATTTAACCTCTAAGTTGTCCACAGAAATCCGCACCTTATTATTGAGAGGGTGAATCAAAGAGTGCTCTAAATTGCCAACAGAAATCGACCCTAATATTGAGGGGGCGAATCAAAGTCAGCTCTCAACGTTAATTTGAAATCCGTCCCTTTGTTGAGAGGGCGAATCAAAGTAATTAAGCTCTAAATTGTCAACATGTTAAATCCGCCCCTTATGAAGAGCGCCGATTAAAATAAGCTTTAAATTGTCAACAGAATTTCTCCCCTTATAGTGGGAAGGTGAATCAAAGCATTGAGCTATGATCAAAGTAAGCTCTAATTTACTTTTCAACGGAAATCCGATGCCTGAATCACTCTGGAAATATGCAACACTTAACAGGGTTTATGTTCAAATAAAATCTGGACAAATATCCAATAGTTTGGTGATATGTCATCCTTTTTACAGAGTGTTTTGAATATTCAGAAGTAGGTGTACTCAAAACAATTTTTGTACTCATTTTTGTAAGTAATCGCCACTCAATTCAGTCAACGAAAAACTACAACCCATACAAGTCACTTCATTATCTCTTGGTTGGTTGATTGAACATTCATACAATTTCTTTTCCGCAGTACAAAACAATAGTCTTCGCCAAAAAAAAAAACCGATTAAAAAGCAATGTGATGTCAACCTAATAGTACTCAAACATATAATGATACAAATTGCATCTTTGACTTAGAGAAGTTTATACCCAATATGAGATTTATGTGTTTATTAGTCATCCGTTCGGGGTTTTCTTAAAACGTCAAAAGTTATTTCGCCTTGCAGTCGCACGTTTGTGGTTTTAACTTTTCGTTAAGTACACACGATGAAGCTGTTTTTGAATAACAAATAGTTTATGTATTTAAGCTCAGTTTTGTGGAACAGTAATATGAAGGAAGGTGTTTTTCTCCTACTTATTTTCTGTTACTTTGACAGCTTCTGAAAATATGTAACAAAATGGCACTTGGGCCACTAGGCCGACTTCCATAAAAAAAACTCTGGCCAATGGTTTTTACTGACCATGTTGTTTTCCATAATCGTCCGTATGGGCATAGCCTAATGCTTCTTCTGGAAGGATGGTCTAAGTTTCTGAATAATAACAGTCAAGTTTCAAGCCCCCGGGAATGGGGGTGCTGTGGATGCTGCAGCACCCCCAACTTTTTGGATTGGGGTGCTGGAATATGCTTCAGCACCCCCTTCTCCTAGGCAAAAATGTGTTCCAGCCAGCAGTGTTCTACGCGACGATGAAATTGCGCCGCTACGCTATACATTATGCTTGCTCTACAAATATCTCCTTCGTTTTGTTCGTTTCTAGTTTTGCCGCGGCTAAGCGCGGCGCTTCGAAAGTCTAGCACAACACTGTAAAATATTAAGAGGAGGTATTTTCTAAATCTTCAGGCAGTGCAGAATCGATATTTCTTCTCAAGGTATCCAAAAATATGACATGTCTATGATATTTCCGCCATGATGGAAGCTTTGACCCAGAAGCAATAACCTCGGCCATGACGATGGTGGCAAAGTTGTTTATGCTTGCCAGGATTTTTTTCATTCGATCTTTTAATAGGGGCAAATGTTCATATCTTTCCCCTGAAGGTTTTTCTTTTCATTTAAAAGTTTCATTGACGTTGCTAGCATTTTGTACTCAAGATTAACAAATAGCAAGGTTCACCGTGACACAACCCCAACCTAAAAGGAGTGGGACGGGCTTTTATTGAAACTATAGTCATGCTACAATTCCAGTGTAGTTTCGTTTTAAAAAAAAGCTATTCATGTTTTACCTCTGCAAGTTTTTTTCTCATAAAATCTCAGTAGACCGATAAATCCCTGCCATAAAAAAGCTATTCATCATCCTCTGCAACTTTTTCCTCATAAAATCTCAGTAGACCGATAAATCCTTGCCTAGCCCCAAACTTGCTATCTACCGAGCATAAACATAAAGATGCATTCGGTCTTTTAGTCTTTTATATTTGCCATTCTCTGTAACAAACAAATAACAATGCATACATCGAGAGCTACATTGTTTGGTGAGATAGAACTAAAGCGGCCCCTGGCCCTGTGGCCCCACGCCGTATAAAACAAAACATACACGAAGGAATTTACTAAATGTAAGAAAGCAGCCTTGCAACAATAATATTTACATGCGATGTCATGCATAACGATACAATGCAACAGTATATTCTAAACAAAATAATGAATAAATTGTCTTCATAATCTCAAAAAACTTTTGCTAACAAAGTCAAATGAAAGTGGACAGGAATCGCCCCCAGATTGCACGACAGAGCATATATATTCCAAATTATGCCACGACGTAAGGGCTTTGCGCTCCGCTTTCGCATTAATTTTATCCGTCCTTTATTCCAGCACCCCATGGCAAAAGTTTGTTCCAGCGGCAGTGCAAGTTTGTCACAAGTTTAATCATGCGGGGTCTGAACTGATTGCTTGATGTATCATGCTTTACCTAGATTGGGTATACTAGACCCATGTGTGTACCGTGCTTTTTCATTTTTGTACAGTATTTGTATTTCACACTTTTAATGTTCATTGGCATATCAGTACCTCAATAAATCACATTATAGGAAGTTGTCAATAAATGCATTGAGTGTGTGATTCAGTGCAAAATACAAGAGCATCTACGACAGCAGCTGAAATGAACTTTTCGTGTCATTATTTTTTAATGTTTCTTATAAATTTTGTTGTATCCATTTGTTTTAAGGAAATTGTATACCTAACGTGACAATGATACATCAAATCCCAGTCGTCAGTTGTGTACGAAGTATATAACGCAGAGCTAGCATGCTGTTGAACCTTCAAGTTGAGATGAACATCTTAATAATTGCTTCACACGGGCATAATGCTGACCACGGGGGTGTAAAGGGTCTGTGTGCGGCGTATTGTGTTGCGTAACTAATAATAACCACTCCTGAAGTGGCAATAATGTCGGTTAGTCCTGGGCTCCACCCAGTGTAACGGATACCTACTTAATCTCAGATAAGAGCGCAGAGGCGCTAATTACCCCCAAAATGCATTAGCTAGATTGGGCTCGGTTCTGTAATGACCTCAATTTCGTCTTGAAAATTCATGATCCTGCTTACATCATTTTCAATTTCGTCTTTGGTCGCTCATTTTCGCCATACTTTTTTCGTGAAAGACAATTCAATTTCGTTGTCTGCAATTGCTGAACGTGCGATAGATGAATCGATTCCGTCATTTTGCAATCAATGTTATATAAATTTCATTCAAATTCATCTCATAATTGTAGGCCATCTTCCGTATTTTTACGTTTTCATCTGTTCATTTCTACATATTTACTTTTTTTGTGTCTGTTAGTCTCCGTGTAACGTTGGTCTTTAAACCTTAAATAAGCATTTTTCATGTAACAATTACTATGCAAAATTGTAATCTTTTTCAATATTTATTTAGTTCGTTGACAATTTTATGCGTCAACAACTGAAAGAAATAGGGTATACACAGGCAAATGAAATTGCGTATATTTTCCATTTCACGCAAGAAATAAGTAGGCCTATAATTAGTTATTATGAAAAGCAAACTGCATTCATATTTTCACATCTTCGAAAACAGTCATTCAGTTCTTCTTCTTGTTCTTTGGATTGGTTGTTAAACCTACAATTTATTGTCTTGCAATACACCATGCCAAATACGTCTGTGTATGGTATACCAGCGTGCGCATTGTCTGATGAATTTGATCGAACATTTCTTGAAATCGATTGAACAAAGACGAATTCAATCCTTACATTATGTACATGGTCATCAGGTGAGACGAATTTCATTGAAATTTGACGACATCAAATGGACAAATGTTGAAATTGATCAATTGGAATGACCAACGACAAACGCGTTCCAGTCTTCTGGAGACGAAATTGAAGTTAACCGTTTATGAATTGCAATGAATTAAGTTTCAAAATATGCAGGAAAACCTATGTATACTGAAGCAATGTACATATATCGGGGTTACAATGAGACATTTGTGTATGTGTGATATTAGTTTCTAGTTTTTGGCAATTAACGTAGATCAAGTAGGGGACCCATGTCTTTACAACAGATGAGGAAAACTATACACATTGCCAAAACTTGACTTTGATGTATACTTTTTATATTATATCTTTGAAGGTACTGCCAAAGGCATATCTAATGTCGTTGCAAAGGAGGCTGTCGGACGCTGTTTTACCAAAAACTACGCCACAGCAAGTGGCATTGCACGGACCGGCTACTCCGTGGGACTGATCGTCTTCGCGCCCCTGGTCCAGCTTTTCTTAGACACCTACGGCTGGAGAGGAACCATGTTACTAGTGGGAGCCATCACCATGCATTCTGTTGCGAGTGGCGCCGTTATGGTAGCAACGATGCAGCCTGAGCTCGATCAGTCAAACGCATACCAAACGCTCCCTCAGACCGAACACACTAATTCGTCATCAGCACATGAGAGCAAGTAGTAAGGGAGGCGGGGGTACGGGACCAAAATCGAAAAAATCTGCGGCGAGCCTGGGCACGCCGCTCTCGGTTTTGGAAAAATAGGGGAATCCCCCGATCTCCAAAAAAAAAAAAAAAAAAAAAAAAAATCTGACGCCGGGAGAGAGAGAGAGAGAGAGAGAAAAAAAAAAAAAAAATATCTGACGCCGGGAGAGAGAAAAAAAAAAAAAAAAAAAAAAAAAAAAAAAACTCACGCCGGGAGAGAGAGAGAGAGAGAAAAAAAAAAATATCTCTGACGCCGGGAGAAAAAAAAAAAAAAAAAAAAAAAATCCTGACGCCGGGAGAGAGAGAAAAAAATAAAAAAAATCTGTCGTCGCTAAAATGAGGTGATGTCACCACCACGTGACCTTGGAAAATGTGTGAGTCACCACCACGTGACCTTGAAACGTGTTGAGGCACGATAACAATTTGGCTTAAACAACGCGACCTTGAAAAATGTGTGAGTCACCACCACGTGACCTTGAAACTCGAGACAAAAAAAATTAGCTTCTCTATCTGTGAAAAGGTAGAGGAGCTGTTTTTTAATAAAAATGGAGAGTAATATGTTTAGACCGACGAGTATTTGAAAAATTAATAAAAAATAATATCGGTTTTTATTAAATATATCAATGAGTGAAAACCTGGAGCTATCTGATAAAACAGATCAGTGCGATCATCATATAATAATCGAGAATTGTTTTTTAGTTTGTGAAACGTGCGGTGAAATAGTCTCACGTTACTTTGATTTTTCGGCAGAAAATGCGCAAGAAGATCGTATCAATTGGTCAATTTTAAAACGAAACAAAAGAAAAACTGTGGAGAAACTTGTTTTGTCTGTGTGCCAAGAAACAATCAATAAATATAACGAGCTCATTAATTACAAAACATTGAGGGGAAATGGATGTGTCAAACGATCATTAATAGCGGCGTGTTATCATCACGTCGTTGGATTAGACAAAGAACGAGTTAGAGATTTATTTAAAGTGACTCAAAATCAATTTAATAAAGCACTAAAAAGATACGATGACCACTATAATAAAGGCGGGGCCGAGGGTAACACCCTCAGCGGTGAAATAGAGGTATAACACGGCGGATCGCTTTCATAATGTTTATTTACCGAGAATTTGAACTTGTAAGTTTTTCGATAAGAGATTTTTTTTCTTTTGCCAGCCGTTCGTCTACCCGTTTTTTAACTTCTTTTTCAAAGTCTGTATCGTTTTTAATCTTTTGAAGCTTTGTGCTGGTCTTTGTTCTAATTTTTTGTTTAAGCTCGTTAAATTTTGCGAGCTCTCTCGTAATCAATATAAACTCTTCGTGCGATATATCTCCGTCGTTGATGGCTTGAGACACATATTCTTCAATCGTGTTAAGTTTGGAGTCTGCTAATATTTTAATCTGGTCGTGCTTTTTTAGCTTGGCGGATAATCGCCTAGACGCGATTCTAAGCAGAATATCTACACCAAAAGCGCCTATAAACGTTCCTTCTAGCACCAATCCAACGGGGGCTGATATAACACCCAAGAGAGCGGGAATACCGACAGCCCCCGCTATAGCCCCCAATCCTCCTAATCCTATCTCTACGTAATTAATAGTGTCGATCATTCTCTTAATTTTTTTATAAGTGCGCTCTCGGTGGTCTCTCTCTTTCAAGATTAAAGATCGAATCTCTTCAATCTTTTTAAGTCTGTACACTTTTGTTTCTTCGTTAACGTTACTATGTAATTGGAGTACATCTCCAGAAATATCGGGGTATAACGTTTTACCATCTACACTCATGTTTTTAATATAAAAAGATTTTAAAATTAAAAGATCTCCAACTCGATCATGATACCCTCACCCTTATTGTTGAATACCTGTCCTTTTTCACCGCTGATAGAAAATGTCAGTTTGTCGATTATACCGTTTTTAAGATTTTTGAATCCCTCGGCTCTATCAATATCGGGTTTGCGCGTAGCCACGGGTACGATTTTTAAGATGTCAGAAGGACGACCATCAAAAAAGTTTTCACTCGTACTTAATTGCGGGCAGCGAATAAACAAAAATTTAAACGGATTAACGTCGTAAGACCCCGTATACACCACTCTGGGTACCAGTCTTCCTTTGGGTAAATTGAGTAATCGAGATACTTCTCTGTTCAAGCGCAATTTGAGATTTACGTCGGTTATCACCAACGTCACCTTTTTAGATTCTCTAAATATTCGAAAACTTACCCCGGGTATAGAATTTAAAATGAAATCGAACCAATCGACGTCGTACCACCCCGGTGCTATGATGACCGAACCGATACTTCCGAGTGGTAACGGCGCTAAATGACTCGGAGGAATAAAATCTAAATCATCACCCGTCACGATAAGACTTCCCCTTATAATTACCCCTGCTTCTCTACTATCTCTCAACTCGCTCAACTCGCTCGCACCCATTTCTCCTTCAATAAACTTTGAAGCCAATTCCTCACCTTCAAAGATTTTTCTTTCTCTAACATATAATAATCTTACTAAAGATTGAAGCGTATTAAGTTCTAATTCAGTTTTTGGTATTTCTGAATTCATGGCGGCTAAAATCAACCCTCGCCGTTCAGCTATAATAGCTCTTTTTCTTTTGTTTGATTCTAAAACGGATTCTAGTCTATCGTCTTCGTACGCTTTTATAAGATCGTTTATAGTTTTTTGTAAAACATTTTCATCGTTAAATAAATAGTGGTATGGTATATCGGGTAACAATCGCTCTATAAAATCTCTATCCGGCGTTGTTATGTGTACATCTGAAAGAAACTCCGCGGGTATGAGGGGAGGTTTATCTGTGGTAAACGCGGGTCTCCCATCTATTTGCGTAAACCAATCAATCTCCGTGGCGCTGGAAATATTAAAATATCCGGCGTTAAACAACACCCTGTTTACGCGTATAGATTTTTGACCGTTTAAATTATCTACGACGTCTTCTAATTTAAACGTCTGCTCATTTTGAAACAAGTGAAACGAATGCATTTATTTTAAAGTCTTTTTATATTAAAACTGAAACTAAAATAATGAGTGATTTTAAGTCGTTAAAAAAGCAGATACAATCGATAGCTGATCAGGTAACGAAACAAGTAAATCAAAATGTAGCTAAACGACAAGCTACCACCCCAGCGCATGTACTAGACAGTCCGTATCTCACTGGCGAACTCGAGATTACGGTCAACGCGTCTAACACGTTTTTAACCCCGTTTCCCGACTTAATCTCGGACTATAAAATATCTCGCCTCAATACCAACGATGCTGTACTTCGTTGGAAAATAGACCCCATGTCTTTTTATCAAAATCAGTTAAACTTTGCGATCTATTGCGCTACAACGGGCTGTGGTGTTGGAATCGATATTTTAAACTCGAACAACCGTTACGTTAAAGCCTTATTTAATTTTCATCTATACTTTACGGTGAGAAGGATATTAAACGACATGGCCGTAGCAATACCGGGAGAAGACTCGTTTGACGCTCTCAGCAACACCTATGATCGTGGAGCATTTACCAACATCTGTCGGACGTTTGCCATCGATCAAAATAAGTCTTTTAAACAGACGAGAGATCAAAAGACTTATGGCTTAGGTCGGCTTTTTCTTTGGAACGAAAAAACAAAATCATTTTTACTCTTGCCGTTAGACTATGATAAAAACACGACCACACTCGACGATTTTATCAACCCCACGGGTGATAAAAATTGGGGTTTAGACGATCCAAAAAAACACGATGCTTTTTTTAAGCATTGGAAGGGTTATCTCGAACAAGACGACATCGTCAAAATGGCTTGGTTAGATTTTATACCCACCAAGAGTTCGTTTACCTCCGCGGGAATCATAAAGATCAACGAATCGATCAGATCTTACGTGTACGCTTTACTCGGTGCGCAGGCTCAAACAAAAACGAGCGTATTATCACCGGGCACCGGATTAGACGCTCAGAGACAATTTAACGTCATCGTTGAAGATATCATCAATGCAGTAGACGACATGGAAACGAGTATCGATCAATTTCAAGACTCTTTGCAGTATGCCAGAACGCCTCTAAATTTTGTCGTGAAACCGGGGTTGTATTTAATTCCATCGGATATGAACTTGAGGGTTGGAACGCACGACGGCTATAACAACAATCTTCAAATCGCTACCCAGAGTATGAAAACTGGTTTGGTGTTAGATTTAAACTCACAACCTCAGCCGGACGACTCTTTTGATGACACCGATGATGTCGCGCCACCAACATCCCTAGAGCCTATGACGAACGATGTTGTATCACCAGCACCAACACCAGCACCAACACCTACACCTACAGTTTTAACCCAGGAGCCCACGAAACTACAAACTCACCAAGACGAAAAATTATCGTTGACGGTAGGAATATTGGCTATCGTTGGCATGGGTATTTTAGCTTACGAGGCAACGCGATAAGTCACAATCTCACCAAAAAAATAAGCCTTACCAACTTTGTGCTGGTAAGGCTTATTTTTTTTGTTTAAACTTGATTACAACTATTACTACCATCGTTTTTGCAGGTACGCAAACACCAAGGCCCCCACACCCAAAAACAAAGCCCACACGTGTTCGGCCAACCACGATACGGTCTTACTCAGCGCGTTAAATATCCAACTCAATACGCTGCCTATGATACCCGGCAGAGCACCCAACGCGCTCACTCCGAGTTTTTGAAGAGCAGATGCAAAATTAGAGAGTTGTTTTGAAATCCACTCTTTGATACCACCTTTTGGTGGTGTTGGTGTTGGTGTTGGTGATGGTGCGGGTGGGGCACCCACACCTCTCACGCTAGCGACGATGCTACTCACTATGGTGCTGATGGCTAAACTCAAAGCGGCTAAAATACTCACTACGGTCACACCTTGTTCTCTAAACAGAGTTCTAATCTTTTCTGCCAGAGTTGTGTCGTCGCCTAAAATTTTATTAATCGTTTCTTTGATTCTAGCGATCTGACTTTTGAGCCCTCGTTCGTTGGTTTTTGCGGCTTCTAATCTGGCGGATCTTTCAGCGTCTAAGTCGCTCAATGTATCGTTTAACTCTCGTCGTTCTTCTTCGCTGATCCTATGATCACCTAATTCATGTTCGGCATCAAATATCTCTTGGTCT